GAGTCACCAAGTTATTTCAAGGTCTTTAAGATTAATCAAGGAAAACAACATGGGTCCTTGGGATGCAGGTAAGAGCCGATATAGGTTGGATGGAGGATAGAGAAGCCCCCTTCCCACACATCTTTAGGTTTCTAGATGAAAGGCAAGGCACAGTGGTGACTGTGTATGTGTTTTAATGTTTTAAAAAACAATTTCTATTTATTCTGAGGCAGTTGTTTGTGTCAACTATGAACCTCAGTGGAAGGGAGTGCTGGAATAAAAGGGCCTGGGTGGAGGAGTCTGATATGTCCAGTGTGGTCTTGAGCAAAGCACCAAATCTTTCTGAGCCCCAGGTGCTTTTTAACAGTAAGGGAATTGGATTAGTGTCCTACTCGTGTGCCAACACTGTTCTGTCCAATAATGTTGCCACTAGCCACATGTGGCTAAGTCTGAATTGAGCTGTGTTGCAAATGTGAAATACACACCAGATTTCAAACATTTAGTGCAATAACAAAAATAATGCCTAACAGCTTCTAATAATTTTTATATTGATTACATGATGACATGACAATATTTTAGGACACAGTGGGTTACAGAAGATATATTCAAAAATTAATTTCACTGTTGTTGTTTTTACCCTTTTAAATGTGACTACTAGAAAGATTTAAGGAGCTCTGGTAGCATAGTGGTTACGAATTGGGCTATGAACCGCAAGGTCAGCAGTTTGAAACTACCAGCTGTTCCGTGGGAGAAAGATGAGGCTTTCTGCTCCCGTAAAGATTTACAGCCTCGGAAACCCTGTACAGGGTCGTTATGAGTCAGAGCCAACTCCACTGCACATAACCACCACCACCACCACTAGAAAGATTTAAATTACCCATGTAACTCACATTATATTTCTACTGGATAGCACTGTTTCAAAATATATAATTTAACATCCCATATTCACCTATTATTATTCATAAGAAATAGATGGAAACAACCTAAGTGCTCATCAATAAATAGATAAGAAAGAATGAAAAAAAAAAAAAAAAGACTATAGTACATACATATAAGGGGGTTTCAAAAAAGTTTATGGAAAAATGAAAATATAATGAAATTTTTCATCAACTTTTTGAAGCACTCTTGTATAATGGAATACATACAATGTTAAAGAAAAATGATGAATCTGCAGAACACCTCATAACATGGTTGAGCCAGGTTCATAACATGGATGAACCTGGAAGACATTATGCTGAGTGAAATTAGTCAATGACAAGAAGACAAATATTAGATGAGATCACTATTGTGAAAAGTCAAAAAAGAGTGACACCCCAAAGAAACATTCTTTGAAGGAAACATTCCATGAGGAGTGGAAGCAGAGAGTAAATCACTCACTCACTAGAGGGTATTTCTCATTGTGAAGTACCGTCGAGTCAGTTCTGACTTATAGTGACCTAGTATAGTGTTTCCAAGGAGCAACTGGTGGGTCTGAACTGCCGACCTTGTTCTTATCCTGTAGCACCAGTTCTTATCCTATAGTACCACAGCAGAAATCCATGTATTAACTTGGTTGAAAAAGGCACTACACAATAAGGGGAGGTCAACACAAAATGATCAAGGCAAAGAAAGACTGGCACACAATTGTTAAAGGGCAACAAAAAATAAATAGTATTACTTGCCCAGTCCTGCAATAACATTAATAGCAATACTATTTGAGTGGGTACATTCAAGCTGAACAGGGCTGGAAAGGCGACTGGAACTGTACTCATGAATATATATGTTTGAAAGAGGATATTTATACATACACATATTTATATGTGCTCCAAATATATCCATGAATATAGTAGAGCATACAGGGAGGCAAAGTCACAAAAACTTTTTAGCTATAACCAAACACCTTGAAGGAATGAGTTGATGGAGCTAAGGGGTCAAGACTATAGTCTCAGGGGACACCAAGCTTAACTGGCATAACATAGTCCACAAAGACAATATTCTACATCCTACTCTGCTGAGTTGCAACAAGGGTCGTAAAGCTTGCGAGTAACTATCTAAGGGACAACTATAGTTTTCTTCCCATCTGGAGCAAAGAAAAATGAAGAAAATCAAAGACACAAGGAAATAGTTAATCCAAAGAACTAATCAACAACATGCACCCCAACCTATACAACCCTGAGACCAGAAAAACTAGATAGTGTCTAACTACCACTGCTGACACCACTGAAAGGGATCACAATGGGAGATCCTGGATGGAAAAAACAAAAAGCAAACCCACTGCAGTCAAATTGGTTCTGACTCATAGGACAGAGTAGAATCGCTCCTTTGAGTTTTTAAGACTGTGAATCATTATGGGAGCAGACAACCTCATCGTTCTCCCAAGGAGTGGCTGGTGGGCTTGAACTGCAGACCTTTCGGTTAGCAACACAATGCCTAGCCCACAGCACCACCAGGCTCCTTGTCCTAGATAGAATGGGAGTAAGATGTGGAACAAAACCAAAACAGTACAAGTTTCATTTTCATAGCAGCAAAGTGTTTAAGAGTGAGGGAAAGGGACACCAAAATGTTTCTTGAAATACAATTTCTTTCCCCTTCCTTTGAATGACGCTGTAGTGGCAGTCCTTTGGCTCTTACAGTCTTCAGAATAGGAGAACATTTCCAGAATCCAGTCTCATTAAAAGGTATAGTTCCAAAAGTGAAGATCAGACATACACAACATCTGTTCTCCATGTAAGTACCAAGTCTTTAGAAAGCACCTAAATGCTCAGTCCATGAGACACAAAAGGCACGAGCTCCATAGCCACTTCCTGCCAGGCTTTAATTGCTACACCAAATAAGAACAGTGGATAGCGACAAGGCATCACATATACTTTAGGACAGAAAGACCAGCAGAGGAAAATATTCAGAGGCACACATGAGCAAAGGGGAGACATGTATTTGCATAGATAAAGTAGGGCCTTGAATACCAGGGAAGAGACCTAGGACCTAACATAAAAGGTGTGGACAGAATGGTCATTCTTACTTTCTAGGACTGTTGGCTGTTTTAGGTCTCTGTGAATGAGAATTATTCTCTTACTATGAGGTGACCAGTCCATGAATATTTAAACAGCCATGGTGGTTTGAAAAGCAAAAAACCAACCATGGTTGTTCTGTGAGTTGGGAGTTGAGCTGCTAACCACAAGGTTGTTAGTTCAAACTCACCAGTCTCTTTGGGGAAAGAGGAAGCTGTTCGTGTAAAGCACAGAAATCCTCACAACCAGACCAATAAATAACATCATGATAAATGGAGACAATAATGAAGTTATCAAAGACTTCATTTTGCTTGCACCCAAGACCTCAATGGCAGTGGATTTGGTATTTCTTGTTGTTGTTTATGTGACTATTCTGGTGATAGGTTAGTTCTACTATTCATGATCAGTTGTATAATTACTACTGGACTGAACAGTCAAGCATGAAGTCTATGAGTGAGTATACACATGCACATACAGGGAGTATTAAAAAGAGGGAGAGAGGGGTATAAACCTCTCCTCTTCCTTATTCTCCAGGCATAATGTATTGAGTAAAAAGAATTTGGGTTTTAAATTAAGAATGATTTTTTAAAAAAATGTTTTTGAGACGCTATAAACGCAGAGAAACGCTATAAACCTTTTGCTCAATTTTCCCCAATGGTTCCAGCTTGCATAATTGTAAAACACTGCCACAACCAGGAAAGCGTCCTGGTGGCGCAATGATTAAGAGCTCAGCTACCAAACTAAAGGTTAGCACATCAAACCCACTGAGGTTCCTGTAAAGAGTTCAGCCCAGGAAACACTATCAGTCAAGACTCTACTTGAGGGCACACAATATCACAACCTGGAGATTGACATCAATTCACAGACCTTATTTAGATTTCATCACTTTATACTCACTCGTTTGAGTGTGTACTTACTTCTATACCATTTCATCACAAGCATCTTCTACTTTTGAATTCCAGTTCTGCCAAGGGCAAGCTGTAAGTTTCTGAGCAAGTTCCTTAATTTCACACCCCAGTTTCCTTATTTGAAATTTAATGTAATAATGCCTGCCTCCTAAAGGTTGTGAGCGGATAGATGAGGTCAAATACTTTCTGTAGCGCTTTCTGTAAAGTCGCTCGCTCATTGTTTTCCCAGTAGCTAGGGAATTTCTTCCAGTTTCTCGCAGAATTCAGACTTGTGGGTTATAGTAAATTGGGCAGTTCCTTCAAGGGCACATGTAAACCTGCATCTCAGAGTGTTGGGTGTTGCCTTAGGTGTTGCCGCCTCCTTTAAGCCTGGCCTTGGGAAGAGCCCTGTAGAGAGATCAGGCGGAGACTTTGAAGAGTAGGGTAGAGGAGGCTGCGTGTACTGAGCTACCGTTGGTCAAGGGACCACCAGTTGCACTTTGTTTCGTCCTGTGTGCTTGGGGTCTGCGGGTTGGATGTACCCACAGATGGCTGCGCAGGGAGAAGGAAGTGGACAGATGCGGATGCCCTTCTAGACCTTGTGGAAGGGTCGCACTCCCTCCCGAGGGTTCTGTGTCAAGTCTTGAATCCTTCTGAAAGCCAAAGGGCGCCAAGGACCGGGAAATCTAGGGCCATCTGGGAGCAAAACAGGAACCTGAACTCCCGCAAGTCACCCAGGCTGGGGGCGCGATTATTTGGAAGAAAACGGAAGCAGGCAGCCAGGGGGCCGCCTGGGTAAACGCGCCAGCCCTTGTCAGGCGGCGACCTCATGGACAGGCCTCTTTCCACCGCCTCCGAATTCTGACGTTTCTAAGTTCAAATCTCGGAGGCGGCCGCCCCAGCAAAGCAGCACTGAAACGTACGCTGGGCTCCTCCTAGCTCCGGCGACCCGGTCACCGTGGTCTGGGGCTCCGGGTGACAGCTGTGGAGACCCTGCTAGGGCACGGGCGGTGCCTTGCGCTCCTCCCTCGGCAGCGCGGGCTGCGGAGGAGGAGCTGCTGAGCCCCGACCGGCGTCGCCCGTGGCTCCTCCTCCCCGTGCGGCCCGGCCCTTCCTCCCCGGCGTCCACAGCTCCGGGTGGCCGCCGCCGAGCGGGAGCGGAGCGCGCTGGGCGTAGCTGTCCGGCTGCCGTTGCCGCCGCCGAGCACCAAGTGCGCTCGCGGTCATGGTTCCCGCGGCGGCGCCGGGCGCCTGAGCCCCGGGACACGCGGTAAGTGACACTTTCGTAATGGGGTACCTCCGACCTGTAGTCTGAGGGGTACGCGGAGGCCTCACACTGTCCCCGATCGTCGGACAGGCCCTGCCTGCTTGAGGTGGACCCAGTACGCGGGACAGGCAGGGGCTTCCTTTTCGGCCCCAGGACCAGGGCGGGCGCTGTCCCCGTGAGCCGGACACGGGATGGCCGGGAGGAAGCAGTGGCCTGGCCGACCCGGCGCTCCCGAGGGGCGAGGCGGGAAGGGGGCGGCTTTGGAGGCGCGGAGGAGGGGCCGGTTCAGGGGCGCGGGCTGCGCTGATGGAGGGCTAGCTGGCGGGTGTGGGGAGAGTGCGCGCCTCTGCCTGCGGGCCCCCAAGAGCTGCGCTTTTGTCAGAGCTGGCCCCTTACATATGGAAATGACGTTTGCTAGGGTCTCCTTTCGCGTCCTTTTGAAGGACGCCGGCGCGGAATCGCGGTGCTGGCTGCGAAGTATTGTCCCGCTTCTTGAGCCGTAACAAAGCGTCCTCCTTTCTTTGCAGAGCGCTGGAGGCAGGCGGCCGGCTGTGCAGGCGCTCCGGAGAGGCCGACAGAAGGTAGGCAAGGGCGGCAGGGGCCGAGAGTGCCTGCTGCCTGGGGACTCAATGAGGTGTCTGAGGCTCTTGGTGGTGGCTCCGGGAGGGTGGGTTGGAGACGCATCACTGGTTGCCAGAGACCTGCGGCCGCACCTCTGCCCTGGCTCCCCGGCGCCGTTGCAGCCGGGTAACTCCATCCCCACCCGCAGTCCCGAGCTGAAAGCGGCCACTGTACATATATGGTCCAGCGGCGGACTTGAGTCCCAGAGGGAAAAGAAGGGGTGTTTGTTCTATCCGCTTGTGCCACCCAGGCAGTCTTGTGAGTGAGAAACTCTTGAGAAAAAACCTGTCTGGGTTGAGTGGCAAAGAAACCATAAAGTGGGGATTTTAGACAGCGTGTGGGAACGGTGTGCATATAGACAGACTCTCCCAGCTCAGTTACTGGGAAACAAAAATGATACTTTCGGTTCTTGCATAGAAGCCTGGACCGCTCGACCAGCAGAATGCAAGTGTGGAGTGAGTCTCGGGAGGATTAGCTGCCAAGGTCCCGGAGATCGATGGGTTTCTGAACTTCCATACCTGTCCGACCAAAGGACAAAGCTGATGGACACTGTCGCTGTTCAAAGCTCTTTGGGTGAAACTGAGAGACGGCTGAGGGTGAGGGTGTGGGAGCAGGCGAGAGCTCGAAAATGAATTTATGTATTCCTGGTCTCAGCCTTGACAAGCCTGGTTAAGGTGCAGATAAAATGAGAGTTTGAATGATTGTCCTACCGTGCGCCATATTCCTAGACAGTTCGGCTACCGGTATGCCATCTTCTGTTTTCTTCACTCCAACAGAGAGAAAGGTTCTCTCCTGGTGTTGGAGAATTCCCGAGATGGGCTGAATTTATTAACTCCTGGATTTTTAAAAGCATTTCAAAGTTGTCTTTTGTAGCATTTTAGGATGAGAATGCTGGTTAAGTCCATCGATGCACATGAGTCAAACTTCTGGGACCATCAGTGATTTTTCAGTTGTGGTGGTATGCCGAGTCGGTTCCGACTAATAGCGACCCTGCATAGAGTTTCCGAAGCTATAAATCTTTACAGGAGCAGAAAAATCTCATCTTTTGCGGAGCAGCTGGTAGATTCGAACCGCTGACCTTTTGGTTAGCAGCTCAGCTCATAATCCACTACACTTGCCTTAAATTCTTTGACATAAAACTATAGCCATTTACACGTTTCCTGATGCTTGACATTCTGCAAGGACATTTGTATATATATTCTGTGTCTGTTTAATTTTACTTTGTGTCTTCTCTAAGGGAGAGCATAGCTGATACAGAATATAGATAAGTCTTGCTCTGGAGTTGAAGGGGAGAGGGGGTCTGTAAAATTCCCTGGCTGTATGTAAGAATAACATCACAGGTTGTCTCTTCAGCTATTTTCAGTGTCCTTTGGAAGATGAAGTGAACTGCTGGGGAGTTGGTTTGCACATTTGTTTATTTTCACCTGTTTTTTGGTGATTCTTTCAAGGGAAGCTTTCTGAACAGCACTGTAGATAAAGGCTAGGACGTATAACTATTCCACAATGGGTTAGACATCAGGAAAGGTATTGCCACCACGGGGTGGGGACAGGGGACTTCACCGGGAGGAAGCTATCCTAGGCACAGTCTTTGCATAAAAATGAAGGATCTATCTTTCTAATAGGCACTTTCTTAAAATGGTGTGGGGGGTTTTGTTTGTTTGTTTTTTCGGTTTAGATATGTAATGACCCTTAATATCAAAAGATGTTAACTCTCATAGAGGAGGAGAATAGAGTTCCAATGAATTCTAAATCAGCCTATCTTAATTTAATAGGCAATATTCTTATCATGAGTCAAGGCTTTTCAAATAAATTGCTTTAAATGTCACTGCAAATGACTTTTAGAACTAACATTTCAACAATCGTGATGCTTCCATTTTATGTTAATAATGAAAATATATTTTATCAGCCTTACCTTGATGAAGGGTTGGTAAATTTAGTCAGAGTATTTTGGAAGGGCTGAAACCACCTAAAGCCTTTTCAGAAGGTTCGTTTTTATAGATGCCAATTGATTTGTAAGCCAACAAATAATGTGGCTTGAATTCTGGCTATTGAACTCACATCTGTTTGGCAGGGGCTTATGCAGAGACTTAATGAAGCTTGCAAAAGATCTTTTTTTATTATTATTTTTATAAATAAAATAGAATTTTTGAAAGATTATAGGATTATGCAGTTGTGCAACTTTGTGTGCAGATGGGATACGTTTTAAATTGTAATTTACATAGCAATTGACCACTGAAGTTTCAAGCTAGAAAAGAATTACAAAGCATTTATACACTAATGCTCATTTAACAAATAAAATTGGGGAAATATTGTTTATGGATAGAGAAGCTTTTCATTCATACTTCAGGGAAATGGACTCATAGCTGCAGGCATCCTGAAGTGAAAGTTGTTATAAAGCTTTCTCCTTTAGAGAAAGTAACAAACATAAACTTTTCTGTTTTGTGATTTTACTTTGTAGGTGATTACAGGTTATTGAATCTATTTTGTGCTGGGCTGCTGGTTTTATTCCTCCAGCTACCCTGAGTTAACTGTCGATTGGATTATTTACCTAGTTATTAGGCTTAACAAAAGCATGAATTTGCTACATTAGTCAGGATATGAAAATACTAAAGATTATTTGTGTTTTAGAGTAAGCAATAGTAAGAGACCCTTGTTGCTGCTATTTTGTGTCATCGAGTTGATTCCTACTTATAGTGGCCCTGTATAGGGTTTCTTTACAGGAGCAGAAAGCCTCATCTTCTCCCACGGAGCAGTTGGTGGACTAGAACTGATGACCTTGTGGTTACCAGCCCACTATGCTGTCAGGGCTCCTTAATAGATCCTTTTGTTGTTGTATGCCTTTCAGTTGGTTCTGACTCATAGGGACCCTGTATGGGGTTTCTGAGAGCTGGTGGTGGGTTTGAACTGTTGACCTTGCGGTTAACAGTCCATTGCATATCCTATAGTGCCACACCAAGAGGCCCTTAGTTAAATTAAACTTTATAGTATAGTTAGCAAAGGCTGTTGCTTTTATTTATTTATTTATTTATTTATTTATTTATTTACTTAATTCGACATTTTTCCCTGTGTGCAACGTTTAAACTTTTGTGTTATATTTTTTTACCAAGATTTTATTTATGGTGATACTGTTTTACTTTTGGTATCCCCCTAAAAGTGCTATGCAGAGATTTTAGCAGAGGGAAGTCTATTTGACAGTAATCAGTTTGCTGAAGAACAGTAGTATCTGGCAGATCTATTCTTGTATATAAATATGTACATAGACACTATTGTTTTTCTATTTAAGCTTTTGCTAAAAAAAAAAAATTTTTTTGTCACTATTTCATTTTTATTGAAATTGGACCAAAACAGTAAGCCTGGAAACGTTCCCAGCAGATTAATGTGTTTGCAAAAAAGAAGAAAAAGAAACATTTTTATTTGATCATTGGCATTGTTAGGCAGTGACTTGCCAAATGGTGAACGTGAAATGCGTGAATAAAGCTATGCCAAAGCAAGGTTTATTCATTTCATCACTTCAGTTATAAATAACTAAATTAGTCACTTGGTGGTCACTGCCTGGTTCGTGGAGCTCCAACAGCTATGTCTGAACACAGGTTCGAAAGCATCTATTATGATGCCTTTGCAAGAAAAGCGGCTGAGCTGAGGGGCATCCAGACATTCCGTGTAGCTGTTCAGCTGCTGGACCATCTGGAGAGGGAATAAAAGGCCTGAGCTAGGGGCGCTGGCATTGTGCTCGTTTATTATTTGATTTTCCCTTGCCAGACTTTGTCCCCTTTTCGCTCCCTTTAGCCTAGAACAGACGCCCCCTTTGGCTGGGATGTCATTCTTACAAGCGCCTTTCTATATCTGGAATGCTGGATAGTTCACAAGTTCACATATCCACTTCATGCTGGCCTGACGTTGGCAACTTCATTATCCCGCCTGCACCTACACCGATTTCTTCCCCAGGCACAGTTGGCTCTGTGATTTCATCAGCGGGGGGTTGCTGAGTGTAAGGCAATAACAGATCTTTAATGGACATCCCACCAGGGTTTGCAGGATTCTAGTAGCCTTGTTTTGAGTTATTTGGAAGGAAAATGCTCTGAATAGTTCTTATTATGGGTGGTTATTGGGTGGTAAATGTTTTGATTAATGGTTCTGTCCATCTGCCTCCTATATAACCACCCCTAGTTAGAGTTCCAAAATTATTGCCCACAATAAAATTGCCCCTTTTTCAAAGGCTTCTTTCTGAAGACTTGATTGGGAAGGTAGATGGTGAGGAGAGGACTGGGTTTGTGCCAGGCTTTATCAAACTGGAATTGTCCTCAGCAATTTGGAGATTCAGTGCTCAAAAAGGAGCTCTGGTGGTGCAATGGTTAAATGCTTGGCTGCAAAACAAAAGGTTGGCAGTTGGCATTCACCAGCTACTCCATAGGCAAAAAAGCCCTGGTAATCTGCCCCTATAAAGATTGTTGTTGTTGTTAAGTTAGTTGGTTCTGACTCATAGAGACCCTGTATAGGGTTTCCATGGAGAGCAGCTGGTGAGTTGAAACCATTGACTTTGTGGTTCAAACCAACCTTGGTTATCATACAGGACTCAGGAAACTCCATGGGAAGTTCTATGCTGTCCTGTAGGGTCACTATGAGTAGAAATAGTGGCAAAATGACACCAGCACTCAGCATGCAATTTTCTTAATCTCTGAGTAAGATTTCTGCTACTGGTTGGGGGCTAGTTAGGCTTTGAGCCTAGAAAACATGGGATTGCACAAATTAGACATACTTAATTATGTCTTCCTGGTGTGGTGGTGTAGGATGAGCACTGGACTGCTAATTACAAGGTCAACAGTTCAAACCCACTAACCGCTCCTCAAAAACCCTATGCAGGATCACTATAACTTGGAACTGACTCAACAGCACCTAACAAGTACAAGGGAGCTTCAAAAAGCCATTAATACTCACCAGCCACTCCTCGGAAACCCTATACAGGATTGCTGTGACTTGGAATCAACTTGACAGCACTTAATAAAACCAAAATTCTACCTGAGTATTCTTAATTTGTACTTGAGTTTACTTACTAATCTGTAGAGAAGAGTTTATTTTTCAATGGTATAAAACATATAAAACTGTTCACTACAGACTAGTGTTCCTTGGAGTCCAAGATGGCCAAACTTCGTCTCTCATACTTTGAACATATTGTCAGGAGGGACCAGTCGCTAGAGAAGGGTATCGTGTTTGGTAAGGTGGAAGCTCAGAGAAAAAAAGGAAGACCCCAGTGAGAAGGATTGGCCAAGTGGCAGCATCGATGGACTCAAGCATGGCAACAGTAGTGAGGTTGGCCCAGGATCGGGCAGTGTTTCATTCTGCTGTGCATACAATCTCTATGAGTAGGTACTGACTCGATGGCACCTAACAACTAGTTATAAGCACTAGTAAATAAGCACAAGGAAGTCCGTGCTTATTTTGTTTATCATGAAATCCATTCCTGTTAGGGATTGTAAATTTGAAGAGAGCTTTTGATTCTGTGGGAAGGTGCTGGGGGACTGGGGGAGAGACAGATAGATGCCAGCCATACTTAGAAGCAGAATCTTTGATGTGGTGAAAATGTGAAATTGTTCACTACAGATGAGTAAGTAAACAGAAATAAGCTTGCTTATTGGGTAATCCAGTTTACTGCCATCTAGGTGATTCCAATTCACATTGACCCTATATAGTGTTTTTGAGGCTATAAACCCTAACAGGAGCAGAAAGCCTCATCATCCTCCTCCTCTGGAATGGTTGGTGGGTTTGAACTGTAGACCTTGTGGTTAGCAGTCCAGAGCTTCTCCTCCAGAACCACCAAGGCTGCTGATAATCCAGCACTGGCTGTAATTATTGAATAAATGGATCTAGGGAGGAAGAAAGCACATAAGAAAAGAACCCTTTTGGAGTTCGAGGTCCTGGAGTATTGTATGGTGGTTTCTGGTACTTAGACGTAATTTTCTGATGATGTAATTTTAGTGGTCACATTCATGAGTTTTGTGTGCTTGTGGAGTATTGGGAATAGTATAATTTAGAGCCAAACATAATTCACATCTCAGCTCTGCACCTGTATTAGCACTGTGTCCTTAGACAAGTCATTTAATTAACTTTGCTAAGCCCCAATTTCCACATCTTAAATGGGAATGATAATATCTCTACTTCAAAGAACTGGAACAATTAAAATGAGACAACGTATGTAAAGTACTTGGCATAGGTCAGACTGGAAATAAACTCTGATGTTAAAAAAAATAATAAAAGATGGTTACTTCTGAACTAACAGCATTCTTTATTTTGTTTGACATTAAAGTTTCTGAAATCTGCCTTTAAAGATCTAGGAAGTGCTGAACATTAATTGGTGCTGTTATTACGTAAGAATGTGATATTTTTACATTATGTATTCCCTACACATGCTCACGCTCTGTCATATGGTATTCCATGTCTGCTTTGTTTCTGAGGTAGATCTATGGTTGATTGATGCCATTAAGTTTTCATTTGTTCAGTTTTACCCCCTCCTGTGTAAACTTCTGGTACTTAATTGGTTGTTTTCTCAATTTGTCTCCTGTATCAGTTTACTCTGAGTTAGCCACTCTCACCTGGTCCCCATATTTACCCTTCCGAACAACCTTCCAGATGGCCACTGTTATTCTCATTCAGTAAACAAGAGGAGTTGTTGGGGACATGTTTTACTACAGATGCTCTCTCCAAGGCTACATCCTGTAACAACAGTAACAACAGTGTAACTGAAGTTTGTGAATCCATTGGTTTAATTACTCACTCATTGAATTAAATTTCAGTCAACTCAGCATAATACAGCTTGGCAGTTGGTGTTGGTTTTCTACTTCTGCTTGATTTTTGTGTAAGGCTGAAATGCCTCTTTGAAAGAGGGCTAGGTGGGGGTGGTGAAGATGTGTGTGAGTGTGGAAGAAATAGGCATTTCAAAAACCTTTGTATGTTCATTTCTATAGCTGTTGATCAGGGTAAATTTCATCTCAGGGATTATCCATGCAATAAACCAGCCCGTGGTGTTTCCTGAGCCTGCTGTAAGAACAGAATGTACTGTAAACTTAAGGGCTAATATAAAAGAAATAGAAGATGTAGCCCTTGTCCTTAAGAAATTTCCACCAAGTTAGAAGTAAAGACAAAAAGTCTTGCATGTAAAATTACAGATGAACATTTGGGGCCTCAAATCAACCAGTAGAAATGCATTCAGTGCCAGATGAGTGCTGACAACTTGCCACCATGTGTAACATCTTCTGGATGTTTCAGTATGAGCATTTGTTTCACAGAGGTGGGACTTTTTTCCGCCTTCAGTCAGAGAATGTCTTCTTGAGCACAGTGTTTTACGAAGGAGGGAAAGGGCACAGAGATAAAAAGGGAGTGCTGCTATAAAATAAAAGAGATTTCATTTAATGGAAATCCAATGAGCTTCCAAACAGAGGATGCTTGATCAGAACTTCTCAAGACACTGTGAATTTTGTCACCCTTCTCAACTGGTTTAGATGGAAAAATCCTCAGGCCTTAAAATAATTTAGAAAAGGGGATGTGTCAGAAATCTCTCATTTTGGCTTTTTTCTTTTTTAAAAAATATGGCGGGTCAAACTCACCGGCACGCCTCAGAAACACTATACAGGATCACTATGAACCAGAACCGACTTGGTGGCACCTAACAACAACAACATATACAAAGTCAAGCAAAAGCAGAGTAGCCTGGCTTTGATGAAGCTGGTTAAATTATACAGCCCAATGGACAGTAAAACCATGGAAAGTGAGTGTGAGCACCGAGGCAACACTGAACAACTAGCACACATTGAAGAGTCACAGTAGATCTTGTTGATGATTAATTAGCTAGCCACTCCAAGTGATTCTCATTAGCCAAACCTTGGCTTGTCTAAATTCCTAAGTCTGTAGCTTTGCATAACACCTTGGTGCTTCTTTTCTGATACTTTGATGTTTATATTAGCACTCTCAACATATTTTGAAAACATTTACATGGTGATTAGTTAAGCCAACAGACCAACCCTGGGAAGGCAGCCAGAAGCAACAGCAACTAACATAATAAAGAAGCAGATAATTAGGAAAAGTGACCTGTCCAAAATAAGGTGCTGCTTCCCTTTAAAGACAGGCCCAGCAAAAATCATACTACATGACAAAACTGTTTAGATTTACCTTCTGAGTCCATCTAGTTTTGTTGAAGCCCTTGGGAAGGTCATGGCTCTGTTTTTAAAGGCATTTCATATTTTGAACAGTTGTATACAGGAAGAAAACAAACGCTACCCAGATAAGCTTTGTTAAGAAAGCTGCTGTTTATAGCGTTTTGTTTTGTTTCGGTTCTGTTCATAGTCAACATCTTCACTTAATGTTTCCATGTTGTCATGGAACATACTTTCTAAGTTGGAGGGGTTTTTGCCCCAGTGCTTGGTTTAGTTAAAGGTGCTGCAAGGGACTGATTCTGAGAATCTTGTGTCAGATGACTGAGTCACTATCTCAAGGGTATATATTCTCTTTGGCACTCTTTGTTTGCATCATGGTGAAAGGAACCTCCAGATGTGAAGTTTCAGGCTTTCACTGAAACGCATAGCACATTAAAAATGAAGTAACTGTGCTAAGGAAAAATGAGAATTCATTTAAAAATAAAGTGTGAAGTACCTGGAATTTTATGATGTATATTTTTCCTGTTGTGGTGCTATAGAGTAAGCTGACCACAAGGTCAGTGGTTCAAGCGCACCAGCCACTCCTCAGAAACCCTATACAGGGTCCCTCTGAATCGAAACAAACTAAATGGCACTTAACAATAACAACAGCAACATTTTTAGCAAAAATGATTCTGATCGTTATTGATGACTCAATGTTGATCTTAATCCCAGGGAAGGTGGTAAAAGGGAAGGCCTGGCGTTGGGGTGGCTCAGAGAAATGGAAGATAGATTAACCAGATTATAAAAGGGTGAGATGGTCTACAGAGGGGAGGGGTTTCCTGTAATGCTAGTTAAGTTAAATTAGCCAGTCTATGGCTCATTCTATCCTCACTGTCTGTGAGATTGGAGTCATGTTTTCTCATTGTTTTTCTAGGCAACTAAGCATTAACTAAGACTCCCTGGGACTGAAGTGAGCTCAGGGAATACTCTTCTGTCACATCTCATGTAATTGCACAAACGGAGCTAATTGAGTTGCTTTTTGAGGAACTCATACAAAAGGTGTTGGTCTCCTGTAAACAGGGAGGTGGTTTTGTATTAAATGTGGTTATCCAGTGCCTCTTGCTGCAATTTTCTTGTGTAACTATTATGGGGAGTATCTAGCATAAACTGAAGGAAGTGAAATGAACATATCTAGCAACCAGTAGATTACACTGTCTCACTAACTTGAATGGACACTCGGGTAGCACAGTCTATTGGTACTAACACTTAGTTTGACCTCCTGAGAGCCAGGTAGCAGGAAGATGTCTTTCTTTTTACGTGGAACAAGCATCTCGCCGATTCCTTCGTTTTGGTGACTCTGCCCTCACTTGTGAATATGCCCCTCATGTGAGTGCATGTGGGGCACTCCACGGGCTGAGGCCGGGTCTAAAAGGGGCAAACAGCGAGCTTACTATGGTTGTTCAGTGTTACCTCTCATGATGGGTCCTTATGAAGCTCGGGGGACCAGAATACACACAGTATTCCCCAAGGGCTGGCAGGGAATAGAGTGAGGAGCCAGTGTGCCAACAGGTAGCTACAGTAGGATTGGCCTCCCACAACCTGTCCTTCTCTCTCACTCTGCACAGGTGAGCGCGGTGGGCTATGGGATGGATGAAGTGGAGCAGGACCAGCATGAGGCCCGACTCAAGGAGCTGTTTGACAGTTTTGACACGACGGGCACCGGGTCCTTGGGACAGGAGGAACTCACCGACCTTTGCCACATGTTGAGCTTGGAGGAAGTGGCCCCAGCACTGCAACAGACACTGCTTCAGGACAATCTCTTGGGCAGGGTAAGGACTGAGGGAAGAACACAGTCAGTGGCCAGTGGGTCTCAGTTTCTGTTTGGTGCTGGGGGCGGGGCAGACCACATATGTTGCAACTTGTTTCTAACATCCTGGCTGTGTGCACCCTTAGCTGTTAGCATGATAAAAACACAGATGTAATGGGCGTGAATTAACAGTGCAGGTGACAAGGAAAACATGCATGGAACATCTTATGAAGAGAGAAAATAGTACATCAAGAGGATGCTTTTCAACTCTTTCCAAGAGAGGAAAGAAGGAAGAGAAGCCCTAAATTTATAACAGGATTTCTCATACTTTTGTGGGCCATTTTATGGGTTCCATATGTGGAGGGAAGGGTGAAATTTCCAATGAAGAGAGGGGAGATGCAGTGAGAAAATTGCCATTCACAAGAAAAGTGGATTTCTGTTATGACATTTCAATTCTGATACAGCTATTTCTTGTGTGTTTTGTTTCTGGGGTGAACTATTAATTAAACCTTCCACACAGACAATAAGACAGGAGAGTAAGTAAGCACAGTGCAAGTTCATTTGAAACCGAGTATATCCTTGCTTTCCAGCAGAGATGTGCATGTGTGTTAATGTTAGCTTCTATGTTTGACAAAAGTCATGTTCTCCCTTTAGATCCAGTCATAGAGATTAGGAAGAGGGAGATAGTGGGAAGACTGTTTGCCTGTTATGCTCCAAGATTGTCTTCAGTTCTGATCATTATAATTAATAGCTTAGTTGGTATGGCTTTGGTGTGGGTCTCTTGCTATTGGTTTTTGAAATGAATGAGAAGAATATTGGACGTTGCTTTTTGAGCAAGTCGAGAAAGCAGTCATGAAGTTTAAATATATTCCAGTGACTGAACTTCCTTTTCTTCATTTCATTGTCAGTTAGTCGAAAAGATTGTGGAGTGGCCTCATATACAGTACAATGCATTGACCCTCTAACTTGAAACTCTACTAGCTATTCTCCTGAAATTACTGTCCACAGGATAACATTCCTAAGGGCTTGATCCCATGAATATGATGCTAAACAGAGTTAACACTTAAAAAGAAAAAAAAAAAAAAAAGAAAGAAAGAAAAATTCTTTGCAAAAACAGGGACCATACTTTGTGAGTTTTGAATGGATTAATTGCTTGGGAACATACTTGATCTCTATAAAACTCTAAAATTTTTGCTTTGGAAGGACTAGAGGGAATTATGAGGATCAAAAAATTGTTTCTCACATGTCAGGCCCACAAATGTTTTTGAGTTCTGCCTCAGTCTTAAATGCTGTGAAGAGATGAAGAGTTGTGTTTCCCAGCATAGTGCTTAGGGATCTCAGGTGTTTGGTGTCTAAGAAATGGTATCAAGGGGTGGATCTGTTGCAATGCTTACTAAAAGCCTAAGAATACATAATGCAGCTTAAGGTTTCCTTGGAAGGTTGCCTTAGAATCAGTGCTAATATGGAATTCTCTGCTGTAAACAGGGTGCACCTTGGCAGCAGGCTAAGTCTCTAAGTGTTGCTTCCCAGATGTTGAACACCTTTGCTTTCATCTGACATACTAAAACCAGGGGAACCTTTATCGATTGATTTGTTAATGACCTGACACTGCCAGCCTGCTTCTTACATTTGCTGTTTGCCTGAGAATAATGAATGCCTAAGTGGTCTACAGTCCGATATTTACTTAGCAAACCAGTGATAAAAGTTAAATAGATGTGTGCATGTTTGATTTCATGTGAGCGGTCTCTGGTGATTGTCTTGAGAACAAGGTGACAAGAATTAATGCACAAGCAATTAAATTTGCATTTTTTGTGAAACTGAATTATTCTCCTCAGATAATCGCATAAATGTAGCCGTATGTTGGTCTGATACTCTATATAGGCTATCACTTTAAATTAAAGGGAAAAAATTCCTTAGAATTCACTGTTGTTGTTGTGAAGTGCCTTCGAGTCGGTTCCGACCCATAGCGACCCTGTACAGGGTTTCCGAGGGTGTAAATCCTTACGGGAGTAGAAAGCCTCATCTTTCTCCCGTGGAGCGGCTGTTCGTTTCGAACCACTGACCTTAAGGTTTGCAGCCTGATTCGTAACCACTATGCTACCAGAGCTCCTTGTTGTTGTTGTTGTTAAGTGCCATCGAGTCGGGTCCGACCCATAGCGACCCTGTACAGGGTTTCCGAGGGTGTAAATCTTTACGGGAGTAGAAAGCCTCATCTTTCTCCCGCGGAGCGGCTGGTAGTTTCGAACCGCTGACCTTAAGGTTCGCAGCCCGATTCGTAACCACTACGCTACCAGAGCTCCTTAAGCAACCCAAATGCTTCTTGATATATTGAGCAGAGACTCATGCTTCAGCCTCAAAATGAGAAAACTGTTTTCAGTGCTAGTCATCTTTCTTTTCTTTAGAAGATACTTATTTTAAAAATTACAAGGATTTACTGTTTGGTTTCATTAAAAAGAAAAAAGAAAGATAGCATGAATAATCTAAATATATTCATCCATTGATTAATTCAGCAAATAGGTATGAGTGTGTCCTGTGTGAAAGGAATTGTGCTAGCCTTTTGGCAAAGTATGTTGTTGTTGTTGTTAAGTGTCGTTAAGTTGGTTCTGACTCATAGCAACCCTAGATAGGATTTCCCAGGAGGGACTAGTGAGTTTGAATCGCTGAACTAGCAGTTCAAACCAGCCTTGCAGTCCAGCACGTTATCCCGCAACGCCACACCAGGACTCCATGCTATGAGTATAGCTTATTTATATTTCACTGTCAATTACAGTTTTTCATTAACTTGGTCTCTGGATGCATTAGTATCTAACAGCTTCCTGGATGCTTGTTATGACTTGTATCTTTAAAGTCTTGCATTTAGCTTTAATTTTGTTTATTAAATATTGAAGAGTATGATTTTTCAATCAACTCTTAGGGACCTGGGCTAAATTAATCATTTTTTGCCCCCTGAAAAGTATATAAAGGTGAGAAAAGGCATTGGGACGTCCCCCTCAACCAAGAATATGAATAGTATATTTTCCATCCTAAAATTAGTATTCAATAACTTGCTCTTTTTTTAAAAAGTTAATGTTTCTTTTGATTGTTGTTAGGAAGGTAACTTACACTGACTTGCTATTTTCATGGCATTTTACTTAGAGGCAATTTCTCCCAAATTATGTTTTAATTCATCTGTTTGATCTTGCTAGAAGTCCCTTTAGCACATTGGTTCATTGGTTTCCATGAACGTGTTTGAAATGCCTGAAGATTGTTGTTTTGGTTATCTAGAGCTGCTATAACAGAAATACCACAGTAGATGGCTTTAACAAACAGAAATTTAATCTCTCACAGTTTGAGAAGCTAGAAGTAAAAATTCAGGGTACCAGCTCTAGGGGAAGTCTTTCTCTTTATGTTGCCCTTTGGGGAAAGTCTTTGTATTTCTTCAACATCAGTGGGTTGGCCATTCCTTGGAGATCTCCTTATATTTTGGAATAATACTCCCCTAGTCTAGGAGGTCCCGCCTCCCTCCTTTTCTGCTCACTTCATTCTCCTTTCATCTCTTATAAAATTAAAGGTGTGACTTAAGCAAGAGTGGGACTTGAGTAAGACCCTCTTATAAGGCTGTGACTCAAGATAACATGGTGTACTAACTAATCCTTCCTCATTAACATTTACAGGTTAGTATTTAAAATATATAACATGGAGGAAAATTACATCAGATAACAATATCAAAGACAACAACATAATACTGGGAATCATGGCCTAGTCAAGGTGACACAATTCGATCTGTGGCAATTTTAGATCCCTGATTAGAAGGCAAGAGGACATTGCTAATAAGTATTTCCTACTAGGTAAATGAAAGAGCTCATTTATCTAGTTGTCTCCAGTTAAAGCAAGACCCTAAGCCAGGAGCTCCCTAGGACCCTGAAAAGTTTATAGAGTAGTTGGGAATGAGTAATATGCTGACAGGTACTGACTGCAAACACTATGGGATTTTAAGAAAGGAACCCACATTAGCCTTTTTATTGAACCAAGTTTTTATCCAAGTAATTGATACCATTTGTAAATGCTTCCTGTTTTCTATATTTTTTTAAATAACTGTGATTTGCATCCATTTCCATCTGTAGACAGAGCTTCTTGGATTAGCCATTGAGTATAACTTCATAGCTTGAAATCTCTAACTTTGGGGTTTAAAAGCCTACTTATTCCCCCTTCCAAGACTGAAACTCAAAGGGAATACACAAGCTGGCAGCCACGTTGGTCTACGGATGAGGGAAAGTGGGGGAAAAGCAGCAATGAAGATGTGGGCTGAGTCTGACCACGTTCAATAGACTCCCATCAACCTGGAGTGAGACCTGGTTGGCCAGCAGTATGGTGACATGGACAGGAACATAGCCAAAGAGGGCTAGAAGCGTCCACCTGTTGTGAAGTGAGAGGAGATGCACAAGAATACCCATACTTGCAGATAGTACCCATATGATGACTTGCTTCAATGGCTGGATGATCAGAACTCAACTAGAGGAAGAAAGAAGAGGAAAAAAAGTGTAATCCGCTACAATCTGATGAAATTGACTTGTGCTTTTGGATGTAGTAGCTGATCATTCCCACCCCTTCTATACACAAAGTTGATAGGGATGGGCAACTTAGACATTGGCTACCTAAAATGGTGCAGCTATAAAGGCAGAAAGTGTCTGGCTTACAAGTTTTCAAGAGGGAGTTTAGTTACAGAGCGTGCAGGGGAAGGTAGAAGCTCCACTGAGTGGTTTTCAGTCTGTCTAGATGGGACTAGTGAGTGAAAGGAGATGGATGGGGATAAAAACTCTTATGATTCAATAGTGAGTAATTGTTATCAGGACTTATTGCAATTGTTGCAAATGTAAAGGTAGATATTTTGTAACAAAAAGAAGGGAGTGGCTGATCTTGCAGTTGAGGAGTGGAGGATCCTGGGACCATGAAGGGAGAAGAGCAGGAGCGGAATGTGGGACCCTATCCAGACAAACAGCGACAACGGGGATGGAGGCAGCGATGATGACGTGAAGAGATGGA